TAGTATTGGAGTACTAGTAAGTACTAGTAACTATCCCTCGCACGCCATGGATTCCACAAGGTTAGTAGTATGGATCAGTTATATACTGTCACCCTCACAAGGAAAGTTCTGGCCGACACTACCTTTTGAACCTCGTTTCATGTCACCATCAAAGTCCAAGTTATTTTTCTTTCTCCGCTCCTGTCGCTGATGCTGACGCTGACACCTCCGATCATCACTCAAGCAGGACAGTGCAGATCCAAGCACTAGCGATCCTATTACCTTGTAGTACTATTCCGTAGTGATCCATGATGACTGAAAGCCAGGCACGCCCTGCATAGCCCACATCAGCTTGGCTGGTGTACTACATAGTAACACCTAGAGTAGAGTGTACACCGCACTTCGAACACACTGCCTACCATTCCGTACCTGTGACTCCTCTCCTCTCTCCTAGGAGGGTCGTCATGAAGGGATTCGACATACACCTACTATAGGAGCCGATTCCAGCATATCCGCCCTGTGACGCGACCAGGAATGTCGGTCGTGAAACCACTGGCACATAGCCGGTCCATGTATTCCGTACCCTGTACCCAATAATTCGAAACGATTCCAGACCCAGCTAGCTGCCTTTTCAAGGCTAGCCTGCCAAAATTATCTCAGCCGAACCCAGAAAATAGATTTGGCCCCCAGTGGGCTTGGTCTCGGCATTGGTAGATCGGAGGATTACTGGGTCCACGACAGGAAGGGTTACCTTCTGCGAGGGGAGAGATTAAGCTCATTGTCAGCCCTGCATATTGGTCCGTCAGCCTTGATTTTGAGCTCGAAGGGTCTTCTTTTCGCCTTCATTCCGTCTGATTCGCTTCTTCGCTTCACGGCGGGCGGGTCCCTCACTTCCCGCATGGCATTTTTCGCATTTTTCGCAAGTTTCGCGATCGCTTACCCCCCCTATGACACGTCCCACTTCTTCCCCAGGAGAAGGATAACAGGGTGGATCGCCACATTCTATCGACGCGCTTGTCAATAAGCGTTAGCCATATATGTATCTTTTCGCTGTCTGTTCCGGAGCATCTTCGTCTCTCCAGTCTCTATCTTTGCTTCTGTCTTAGCCTACTTTGTTTCTAGCGATGCAGCTGTGCTGCTATGAATCATGGCTTTCATTCTTGTCACGCTCTGCTGCGTCTTCGCAGCTATCGGTTCGTTCTTGTTTGGCTATGATTCTGGTGTGATCTCTTCCAGTATCGAACAAGATGCTTTTCTGGATCGATTTGGGTCTCCTGGTCTATCCGATGCCGCTAGTGGCGGCATCATCTCTTCATACACTGGTATGGTTCTGCTTCAGTTCAAATTTTGCTATTATTTCAAACAAGAGTCAGGCAGCTAACATTTATCTCTAGGCGGTGCAATTGTGGGATCGTTGCTCGCCTCCCATATATCCGATAGCTGGGGCCGTAGAATGGTCATTTCTATCGGTGGACTACTCGCCACCTTCGGGGCTGCCCTTCAAGGAGGAGCCATCACCATCGCGATGCTCATCGCTGGCCGATTCATCGCCGGTTTCGCCATCGGTCTCATGTCAGCAACTATACCCGTATACTGCAGCGAGATTGCACCGCCCCAAATCCGGGCTTCGCTCGCAAGCATGCAGCAGTGGATGATCGGTCTCGGAATTATGGTCGCCCAATGGGTTGGATACGGTTGCTCTCTTCGTACAAGTGCCTTCTCCTGGCGATTCCCTCTATCATTGCAAACGGCACCGGCTATTATTCTAACCTGTGGTGTCTGGTTTATTCCGGAATCTCCTCGCTGGCTCATTGAAACGGGTAAGGAGGGTGCGGGTCGCTCGGTATTGGCCCGTTTACATTTGAACCGCGATGCGACAAACAGCCAACTTGTTGAGCATGAACTGGCCCAAATACATGAGAGCGTCGCTTATGAGCATCAGTATGTCGTCCGGTCTTGGCGTCATATCCTGTTTTCTAAGCAATGGCGCTGTCGGATCCTTTTGGCTTGCGGGTTGCAAGCATTCACTCAAACATCTGGGACCAACGTGATTCAAAATTATGGACCTAGGATTTACAAATCACTCGGCTTGTCTACATCAACCTCTCTGATGATCATCGGTGTCTGGGGCGCGCTGGCGTTGTTCTGGAATACCATGTTCATGTTTTTAGTCGACAAGGTCGGTCGGCGCAAGCTTCTCATCCCATCGCTAGTCGGCATGGGTGCAGTGATGTGCGTGGAAGCTACACTCGCCCGTTATGTTGACTTCAGCGACCCTAACGCCAATGAGGATGCACTCCGTGCTGCAATTGCCATGTTCTTCGCCTTTTCATTCTTTTTCACGTCCCTCGGTATCATATCGTGGGTCTACCAATCCGAGATCTTCCCTACCTCCATTCGATCCCGAGGCTCATCAATCGCAACCGCCACAAATTGGAGCTTGAATTTGATCTTTGCCCAGTGCTCGCCAATCGCGTTGACAAATTTGAGCTCCAACTATTTTTACGTGTTTGTAGGCTTCAACTGGGCTGCTGCGCTTGTCGTTTTCTTCTTCTACCCGGAAACAAATGGATATTCCCTTGAAGAGGTCGATGAGGCATTTTCCCGTCGGTATCAGACCGAGCAAGCAGAGGTCACTCTTGCGACTTCCGCTAGCCCTGAAACTGTGGAATCACGTTCTCGGGTTAGGCATAAGGGGATGCATCCTCTATCTATGCACCCGACTCACAGCGGGAGCTGGAGTAGCATTGTTGGTTCATCTCCAAAGCTGTGGAGTAAAAAAATGGCGGATGTATAGCTCATCTACTATTAAATTTTCGAATGCATAAAGGTTTATTCTTGATTGTTCTAGATCTTGATATACATCTTGGTCAAGCTAAGATTATCTCATAGCTGTAATCGACAGTGCCTCACGATTGGGTTTATTGCAAAACATCCCGCATTAGATCGCCGATGGCCTCTGCACCACCACCGCCACCCAACAACTTTTCATTCGTTGTTTGAATGATGACTCGGCGATAACTGATGAGAGCCGGAGACCCATTATCCTTCACCTCAAGGATAAGATGTAGTATCTGGCCCTTGGGAATTGCCGCCCGACTGATCAACTCTACACAGCACTTCTCCGGAGGAGGGATCTTGACCTCAACCTTGCTACTGGCTTCATTGAGTGGCTTGATATCCAGCCGGCCTACCTCATGGTGAACAGACCATTGTGACGCGCTCGGGTCTTGGTACTGGTACCACTTGAAAGTGAGAGTATCGTTGGGGTCGGGATCATACGATGCAGAAGCATCGAGCTGGAAAATGGCACCGGCCTCCAACTCGAAATGAAGCGGCTGTAGACCCTTACTACCGTTGATATCAACGACCGGGTGATGGTTTGCCTTGCTGAGATCAGGTGAGAGAGACCACTGCATTCGAGCGGCGAAGTCTGTCTGAAAGGCATCGCGCCAGCGCCAAATCGTTGCATGGTTGGATTTGTGTTTCCGACCATCAAGGCCCACGACTTCGTCCACTGTGTCACTAAAATGACCATTGGAAACACCCTTGCCGCTGATATCCGTGGGAATGTATCGCCCGCCCCAGGATCCATATTCCGGGCACTCTGGCACACCGAGACCATTCTGAATGATATACAGGAAAGTCGGGGTATCGCCCTCGGGAATGAACATGTAGTCAGGGTACGTAGATCCAAGTGGACCGATCTGGATGTTCTCCTTGATCCACTGCTTGCTGATCTTGGACGGGTCCGGCCCACCCTTGTCGAAGCCGTACCAGCCGTCGCCGGAGATGCCGCACCAAGCGGCCATACCATACTGGTTCCAGCCGTGAACGGAGCAAATGTAGAAGATGTCAGGGAAGTTGTAGCGGATCCAAGCGCCAGTGTCGTCTTGGTCTGAGATGGTGTAGACGCGCAGTTTCGAGCGCAGTTTGGCGGCATCGGCGGCGGAATGAGTGTTTTGGACCTTGAGGAGAACAGAGGCGAGTACATTGGTTCCACCCCAGCAAAGAACCCAGAGAGGATCTTCTGAGGGTGCTTCAATGCGATCCAGAAGTAGCTGGCCGCCTTCGCTGAGGGGGATGTTGTTGCCCACTGCGGTCATACCATATGCCTGCGGATATAGAGTTAGGAGATTGTGCTAATTGTGACTCGTGGATGAATGTCACTTTACCTCTGCGCCCTTCTTAATTAGGGACCTCATATACTGGGCAGTCGGGTATGGGTCATTGGGGTGTGCGTGAGCGTTGAGATTGTCGACTACTTTCTCATAGCCATCGACAATCTTCTGCATGTCCTGTGGACAGACCTTGTTCTTCATCCAGGTTGACGTGCACGCAACCAATCCCTCTCCGTTCGAAACTGGTTAGAGTAGAGAAGATAGCGCACCAAAGACTCTGCATCATCAGGCTCATTGGAGATGTCACTGAGAATGAAGACACGCGGTTTAGTTTGAAAGGTTTGGAGCTGTGTTGGAGCAGCCATGATGAACAGAAATAATGTGAATGAACATCACTCTCATGGTGATGCTGGCTATATTTGAAATACCCCTCCTCATCAGGCTGCGACAGAGGACGCAACTCGAGCCACGCAGTCCCCAAAGTAGACGAGTGGAGGTGTGTAGGAGATGCGGGGGGAAGGTGGAGGCAAGCATTACCGCCGATGTTTAGCCGGCCCCTTTGAGCCACCTTCTTAAGGCAGTTGCAACCACCAGGCACTTGATTAGCTTTGGCACCATCCAAGCCTTTCTCCACCCCTTAGCTTAGCCGTCATTGAGAGGCACACGCTAAGAAAGTTATCCGAAGCGACGTGTTCCCCCTTGGCTATCGGGCCATATGGGTTTCCCGTGTTTCTATTGCGGGGCCCCGGAGCTGCTTCCCCGGCCTCTACCCCGAGAATGAGGCATTCGCAAACGCCATATGCTGTATATATAGTAAGTGGTATTCCGGGGCCGGGAAAAGAGAATGGAACTCATGCCAGGTGCCTGGACTTGGTGTGATTATCCTCATCATTTTCCAAGATGTTCGACTCAATCAAGCAGTCGGCGCTGTACCAGGAGCTGAGCCTTCGCTTGGTCTTTATTGGGTGCTTCGTCTCCCTGGGGGCCATGGGATTTGGATTTGATAATTCTTGGTGGGGAGGTGCTCTGGGGTTGTCTCCATTTGGCAAGAAGTACGGTGAATGGGATGAGGCCCAGAATGATTGGGCCATCCCAGCAGAGAAACAGTCTGCTGGCACGGGTACAGGCTCTGCAGGTATCATCATCGGCTGTCTCGTTGCCCCATGGCTATGCTCCAATTTGGGTCGTCGACCAACTTTGCTGGTCATGGCGGGCCTCTTGACCGTGGGCATCATACTGGAGGCTACAGCTATAACCTCCTTCTGGCAGTTGGTTGTGGGTCGCATTGTCGTTTATTCCGGAATTGGCCTGGCATCGAATGTCGTACCCATGTATCAATCTGAATGTGCACCAGCCAAGGTTCGAGGTTCGTCACTGTTATTTCTCAAATCTCTATGACTGGATTGAAACTAATTTGGCATAGGCGCTTTCTTGACTGCATACTCGTTTTGGAACACTTTTGGTGCTTTCTTAGCCACGCTGGTCGTATATCTATGTCAAAGCATGACAAGTCAATGGGCTTATCTGTAAGAAACACAGCCTTGTTATAATAATACATTACCATTTTCGATCTAACCTACCTTTAGCACTGTGATTCTTTGTCAACTTCTTGTCCCTCTTGGCATTATCTGCTCCTACCCCTTCCTCCCCGAAACACCACGATTCTTAGTCTACCGCGGGCGATTTGCGGAGGCCGAGCTTGCAATCAAAGATTTGTTTGGTCCGAACTATAACGCCGCAGAAGAAGTGCAACTTTTGCAGCTCCAGGTCGAGGAGCAGCGAGAGCTTCATAAGGCAACCAGCGTTATGGACTGCTTCAAAGGCAGCAACCTCCGGCGAACAATTATCGCGATGGGTGTTCAGATCTTACAGCAGGCTCAAGGAGTCTCCTTCATCAATAACTTTATCGTGACCTTCATGAAGCAGCTTGGATTTGCCGATCCTCTGAAATATAATGTGATTGTCATTGCTTGTGGCTTAGTCGCCAATGTGATTTCGTTTTATACCTTCGACAAAATTGGTCGGCGCTCCAATATGTTCTGGGGAGCTTTCGTCATGGCTGCAATGATGATTGGTGTTGGAGGCACGACGGCAAATGGCTATGAAGTTCTTTCCACGATGACACAAAATGGCTGTGTCGCCATGTTGGTTCTTTGGTATGTTTTCTACGGTCTCTCTTGGGGACCAGGTGTGTGGATTCTAGGCGGAGAGATTGGCACCGGGCAATTACGTGAACACACTCTGCTTCTCTCTTCGCTTGGAAGTTTCGTCACTTCAGTTCCCATCAATTTTGTCAATCCTTATGTCCAGGCTGCCATTGGTGGTCGAACTGCCATCATATACGGTAGCTTCTCCGTTACCGCTATGGTGTTTGTGTACTTCTTACTTCCCGAGACAAAAGATCGATCTTTGGAAGAGCTGGATGAGATGTTCCAGCAGAAGATTTCGACACGACAATTCAAGAGCTATGTGTGCACCGGATTGGGTGCTCAGATCAGACAACTGGAAAACAAGGAAGATGTCAGCGAGAAGAAGGTCAGAGAGATTGAACATGTCGAAGCTGCTATTTAATGCAAATAGAAACATAGTGATATGACTTTGAGGATACAATTATGTACTATATTTTGTGAGGATTAGCTTCTCTTGATGAAACAAATAACCTTGGAATTATGTATCTGATTGGACCAAGTAGTGTATTAAATTAAACTTGGAGTGTGGGAAACTTCAGTCATCAACATCGTCGACTTTTCGCGTATACTACCTCCAGGGCGTTCGAGCACAAAACCATACTCTTCAAAAACATTTGCAGAAGCTTCGCGGCCACTCTGGGCTGCCAAGTCCAGAGGACTAGCGCCATTCTTGGACTTTCGTTTCGCATCAGCACAACATTCCAGCAAGACCTTAACGACCTTCGATCGATTGTATTGTACAGCATGGTGCAACGCGGAATATCCACTCGAGTCAGCGGCATGTATATCCGCTCCCGCGGAAAGAAGGGACCGAACAGCTTCCACATTGCCAAGAAAGGAAGCTTTATGCAGTGGCTTCAACCCTGATTCAGAGATATCAGCATTTACTTCCGTATGCCCATCTAACAACAAAAGCTCAACTATTTTCGGGGGGCCCTTATGAAGAGCAACATTCAAAGTGGCCATGTTATGCGTCGTATCATGAGCCCCAGCGTCCAGCAGAAGGTGAACCATTCTGGCATGTCTTCCATCAGCAGCATGATAAAGGGGGGACGAGCTATACCCCGATAGGAATGCATTTGAATGTGCCCCCTTTTTGAGCAAATGCTCAACTGCATCTGTATTGCCCGAGAGAGCGGCCATATGCAAGGCAGTTTTGCCGTCTCCAGAGAGAACGTTGTGGTTCACTTCTTGGTCTATCAAGAAGGTGACCATCTTTCGGTCCAAGTCGGGAAATTGGAAGGAATACATGAGAGGGGTGAGATGCGTGTAGGTGTAAAAGTGGTCACCCGCTCCCTTGTCCAAGAGCAGCCGGGATACTTCGATCAGCCCGGCGCTTATTGCATATTCTAAAGCAATTTTGTTTTCCTTGGTCCGAACAGTAAAAGACGATCCCCTCTCTATAAGCAGACGAGCCGCTTTATATTGGTCATGGTATATAGCCAAGTATAATGGCGTTTCTTTTTCCAAGTTCAATGGGTCCAGTTTGGCTCCTTTGTCGAGAAGTAACTCGATCATTTCAACTTGACCCTGGAGAGCCGCATCGTGCAGTGGGGTTATCCACGAGTCAGAAGCGACATTTACATTGGCCCCATTACTAATTAGAAAATCAGCTACCGCGAGTTGACCTTTATCAGCAGCATTATGCAATGGAGTCCACTTGTCGAGTGAAGCAGCGTTGACATTTGCCCCTTTGCCAACGAGAAACTTGACCGTGTCAAGCATGCCATTACTTGCTGCAGTATGTAATAGTGTGACCCCATATTTGTTAGAAACACTGACAGGCTGCTTGAATTTGTCCAGGAGCAACTTAAGGGCTTCTGTATGGCCTTTTTGGGCGTATACATACAACACATTCTGATCGAGAGAATTAGACTGCAAGGTAGCCCCCGACTCAACGAGAGCTTTGAGGATCTCGACGGAAGATCCGTGCGCAGCACAGTAAAGAGGCGTACTCCCTTGAGAATCGGGAGCATTGGGATCCGAGCCCATCTCAAGTAGGAGCTGTACTATCTCTGCGTGGCCCTCAATGATGGCTTGACGAAGGGGAGTGACACCAAGACGGTTAGCCACGTTGGGATCAGCCCCATGTTGAAGCAGTAATTGAACAATCCATAGTTTACCAGTCTGACAAGCGGCGATAAGCGACGTGAGCCCGTTAGTATTGATTGGCGTAGAAATATTTGGTTCAAAATTTGCGAAGAGGTGCGTTATATCCCTGTCAATGAAACTTTTTCTGAGAAGTTGTACGCATGGAATATTGTCAACGGAAATTGTAGAGCGTGGTCTAGATGCGACAACATCGTTCAAATGTGTCCCTAGCAACAAATACTCGACCATCTCTCGTTGACCGAGAGCCGCAGCCACTACCAGGGGTGTCAAGCCATCTTCGTTCTTCACGTCGCATCCAATAGTTTCAGTCAAGAGATAGAATTCTTCTGAGCGACTGAAAGCAGCAGCCAAAATGAGAGCATTGACGCGACAAGATCTGGAGACCGAGCCTGGAACCCCTTGGAGAAAAAGTCGGGTCAGCCTCAGGTTTCCTGTAAGGACTGCTATGTTTAGACAACACTCTTGGTGTTTCCCATAGGTCCCATGAATTCTTGCGCCAGAGTCCAGAAGAAATTTGGCCAGTTCAAGGCGATCTCTCATAGTGGCACACCCTAGCGGGGTTTCCCCGTCAAGGTTCACGACACATGGATCGAGTCGCTCTCTGACAAAAAGGCGTAGGATCTCAAGGTGTGAATTTATCACGGCAGAATGCCACGGCCCATATCCATGGTCATTGGAAGGCTCCAAAGACGCACCACGCCGAATTAGAAGCTCCGCCACTTCTACCTGGCCGTAGTAGGATGCGAGATTCAACGCTGTCCAAGATCTCGCATCGACAGCATTGATATCAACTCCTTGGTCAAGGAGGCGCTGAACTGCCCTCAGATCACCGGTTTTGATGGCCTTCCATAGCCAGCTTTCCTTGTCTTCCAGTATAAGATCTTGTAAGTCTGGTAGCAGCGGTTTTGATTTGTTCTCTTGGATAATCCACTGAGTTTTCAGCGCATCATCCGCAGTCAGTCGATGCTTTGGGTTGGCCTTGATCAGAGACTTGATGAATGCAACCCCTTCAAGCCCGACTTTATGTAAAATATTATCCTCTGGAAATGGATTCCGTCCATCACAGAACTTTAAAATGGCTAGAGAATCCGCAAAAGGCACATTTTGGGTGAGTATTTCGTAGACCACGCACCCCAGAGACCACATATCAACTGCCTGGTCGTACCCTGAAAGAAGCTCAGCCGACTCATAGTAGCCACTAATTTCGGGTGCCTTATACAAGGCCGAACCTATCTGTGTATGTAGTTCTGTTTCGCCATATGCTCGTTTCGATATGCCAAAGTCTCCGATCTTCACCCACCAACAAGGGGCAGGTGGTTTTTGAACGACAAAAATGTTCTTAGGTTTCAAGTCTCGATGCGCAAACTTTTCTTTGTGGATTATGCGAAGCCCATGAAGAAGGTCTATTGTAATTTGTCTTGAATCTTCATCGGATAATGAGTCGGTGATATGTTGTGACAAGTCGCCTAGTTCAAAGTATTCCATCGAGATGAAGAGGTGCAATGCATCCTCAAACCATCCAAAGAATTCGACTAAAACATCTTCTTGCTGATAGCTGCGCTTAGAAAACTTGGCCAGTGCGAGCAACTCCTTCTTGTAATCAATGTTGCAGTCCTGCATTCGATGCTTGCTGATGACCTTGACAGCACGCATGGCGCGCACGTCATCCTCTTTCTGTCTGCTTTCTAACCAAACATCGCCGAAGGCGCCACTTCCGATGATTTTATCTCGGATCCATCGTGTTTCAACTTGAACCTGACGTCTTCCCTGGCTTCGGTAGGTCCGTAGCTCGATGTGAGTAGTATGCTGCTCCGTCACGATAGCCTCTTGGCGGAAATGGTCCAACAGGTCGCGAGATTCAAAATGAGTCATGGCGAGCCTTCACTGATCGAGTTGAAACCTGCGCACTCTGGCTGGAGATGTCTGTCTGACAGCATCAGTCGCTCACCCCAAAACTCGCCAAGCCCGGGGTCTTGTCGAGCGCCAAGGGCCGCCACGGTCATTGGGCAGAGCATGCGCCTCTCTTCCGGGTCAGCCTCTCTCGTCTCGCCAATATATACCGCCTTCTGCCCATTACTACCTGTACTTGGTCACCCACTTTTCTATTTACCTTGTTCGTTCACCTTCAAGTTCAGCATAATTTCCACAATGGATCCGGCTTCCCTCGGCTTCGCGTCTGCTTCCATGGTTGAGCTGTGTATCAAGTGGGGTTCCCCGCCCCCGCAACCATTCATCGTCTAATTGCCTTAACAGAACTGGAAAGCAATTCTACATTCACTGCAAAACGTACAGAAATGCCGAAACAGAGCTGCGCCAGGTCATCCTGGAGATCGAGGGTTATTGGTTGAGAATCGAAGACCAAGTCATATTTCTTCGCGATCACTGGGATTCCCTCAGCGAACGGTACCAAGTCCACCAAGACCAAGTTCTTCAGGAGCTTCAAAGTACTCTGCAAACCGCAATATATGCCCTCGACAATGTTCTAGGAAAACCTGAAGATATTTCTCAATGGGAAAAGCTCCTGGCGAAGAAAGGGGAGGCAAAGCGGGTAAAATACGTGCTATACACGAAGAACAAGCTCGAACGCATCATCACCCAGCTAGATCGATGGCTCCGTCAATTCGATCCCTCGTGGTTCCTGTTATCTCGGATGTCAAACATGATCATCGGTCGCGATTTTGAGAGCGGTCGAGATAGCGACAGTAGTGCCATTTCAACAGTCGCAAAACTCCGCGAGGCACATGAGGAAAGCCAGACAACCTTAGTCCCTTCCTCTTCATCTTCTATCTTTCTTGGGAAAGACTATGGGCTGAAGGATATAGAAGTGATCCCATTAGCACACTCATCAATGGGACTGACGAATGAAGGCAGACGAATCATTATAGATCACTACTTCCTGCGCAATGCAGTCGACGTTGGCACTGCTAGAAAGGACGTGCGGGATCTCGCCTCGATTCTTTCCAAGGTTGACCCGGCGTTTTCCTCTCTACTTCCGTGTGAAGGAGTCGTGAAAGCCGAGAGCCCCTCGGCATCCGAGCCTCATTTCCGAATGATCTTTACCATTCCCCCGAAAATGAGTCATGCCATCCCACGCAGTCTGCGATACCTCCTTCTGGAGAACAAGAAGAATTATGAGCTGAACGAGCGCATCAATTTGGCAGTCTCTTTGGCCCGGTCGGTCGTGTTCTTGCATGCATCGCGGATCGTGCACAAGAATATCACGCCGGAAAACATTGTTTTGCTTCATACCGAAAATGAAGCCCTCGGCACCCCATTCCTGGTAGGGTTCGAGCGCTTCCGATTCGACGAGCGACGAACAAACATGACAGGTGATGATAACTGGGAAAAGAACATCTACCGTCATCCTCAGCGGCAAGGTCTGCAGCCCGAGGAAGTGTATTCTATGCGTCACGACATCTATAGTGTTGGGGTCTGTCTTCTTGAAATTGGACTTTGGACTTCGTTCGTTCACTATACCGAGGACCTCCAAGTGGCGGGCCCGGACTCAGAACTCCCTATCGACAGTCTAGTCGCGGCGAAGAATAAACGGAAGGCTGCAGCAGATATAAAAGCAATCCTCGTCAAAAAGGCTTTGACCCATTTACCTCAGCTTATGGGTAAGATATACACGGATGTCGTTGTATCATGTTTGACCTGCATCGATCGTGATAGTCAGTTCTTCAAAGATGCTGGTGACTTTGAAGACGACGATGGAATTATAGTTGGAGTGCGATATATCGAGAAGGTAAATAAAGCTCCCTGGGCCCCCTTGAGTTATCAAAACCCTGGATATGCCTAGCTGACGGAGATTTATTTCAGATTTTGTATGAAATTGAGAAGATTCGTGTCTGAGTACACTCTCGGGCGCCCGGGGGCACTGCTGTCCCGAGGTCACTATTTTGCTTTTCCAAGGTTATTAACCGGATCATAAGGCATTAAGATAAAATGGAATAGTTTAAATTACGAAGACCTAGTGAATAGAAAAGAAATCAATTCATTTGGGTCTTTTAACCCACCAAATCACCACTAGAAACAATTATACTACATAGTTGAAGGTATACGCAAGAATATGAGGATTGGTTCAACGCAGACCTTCATTCGAGTAGCGAGGGCATGGTATAGCTGGTCAAAGGCGCTTCCAAGATTTCACGGCGTAGATCAGGCTCCCAGGAATGAACAGTATATTCAGAAACCTGCAATGTCAAGCAATAGAAGAGGAGATCACTGATTTGATGCCATGAATCCGCGCCTAAACGTTTCGCAATTTTCAACATACGGCCTGCGAACCATGGCCGTGCGGATGGGGAAGGTGTTGCCGAGGAGTACTGTGTGAAATCAGGCAATTCATCTGACATAGAAGACGATATGATGTGATCTACGCTCACGTAGCCATCATTGCATGCCAGAAGAATTTGCAGGATGGCCTCGACTGAGCCGCTCATGCTGACTTCGCTGTCAATCATGGCATATTCGAGGGTCCTGAGGAAAGTCCCTGCGTGTATTGGTGCATAGCGGTAATCCCAGAGAGCTGCGTTCAATATCATCAGCGCAGTGAAACGAGCGACCATCTGTTTTCGGTCTCCTGACGCCGTGAAACGGGCTCCTGGTGGCGCGGATAGAATTTGAAAGAGGAGAGAAGATTCTTGGACAGATGTATGGCGGGATAGGTCGCACGACTCGGGATTCGCTTTTTGGTAGAGAGCAAGCTGTTCACAGCGCCGCAGAAGATCGAGAAATTCTTCGCACTGGAGCCGGATTTCATCGATTGGGGATAACTGCATGAGGCTATTTGTAGCAACTGGCGGTGGCTCGGAACAGGGCGTAGTATCTGACAAGGAAGAGGTGGAGTATGGCGGAGAGGGTATGGATTGGGAAATTTGAGGAGGCTGAACAAGAGGCTCTGCTGAAACAGTCGGAGTAAAGGAGGGAGTTGGTTCGAATGAGAAGCTGAGCCCGCGCGTCTCATAGCCAGACAGTATATAATCTTGCCAATTAATCAACATTCCCAATCGAGTATTTGCAAATGCAGCAGGGCCACCACGCGCGCGGATCATATCACGAGCTGCGCGCATATGCATCCAGCTAAATTCTTTGCGACCAAGGCGGGGATCAAAGTCTTCAAGAGCGGCTGCACTTAAACATGATATGATTGCAACATCCGAGGTATCGCCGGGGTTTTTGTACATATGTTCACGAAGCATCCTGATGGCACGATCTCGATGCAAGAGGCCATCAGCTGTTTCTCCCTCATTTCGGACCCAAGCCCAAGTATTTGCAGCATGAACAAGGATAGTATTTTGAAACGCGACAGCACCTTTCATTGCCTCGGGGACAAAAACGGCCGTATACCAATTATGGGCTTTGAGCGATCGAAAATGTGTACCATAAGAGCACGCGGGCATATCATTGACGTAGAAATCGAAGAGCCTCTGACCATCGAGATCCAGCTCGATGGGGAGGGTATTGAACGGATCTGTTCTTGCGGCGCTCATGATGGATCTTGGCGATTGTGTAAAGTCAAGGGGGGTCGTCGGCGCGGACGACCAGGAAGCTAGGCTGCTGCTAAAGTCTGTCGGGTAACTATGGGTTTGTGGGGATATATTCATAAGACGTTGCGGATCAAAGGGATTGTAGGGCTGAATAGAAGAGGCTCTATAAGGCAAGTGGGTGATGCTTTGAGCCTGGGCTGGCAGCTCATATGGGTTGGACGATGTAGTGACAGCTACAATCCGGCCCTGGCCGCTATCCTCAATATCTGCCAGAGCATCTTGTTTGGATACTGCTGGAGATTGATTTGTTTCATTCGTGGATTGAGGGTCTTGCGGCGTAGACTGAGTTGCTTTTCTGGTCGACTTGCGCTTGGCTGCACGAGTCGCCTTCGGCCGGCCACGCTTCGCTGGGCGAAATGGGTGCGTCCTCCTCTTCATCCTCACCTTGCTGCGAGTCGCCCTTTTTCTGGCGCATATACTCCTGCATAACATGACGTTTAACTTGCGTCAGGTTGCTGCGACTGTTATTCGAAGAGTCGATGAATTGCCACCGCACATTGGACGCTTGGGGTTTATCGCTGGAGGGTTTATCGCTGGAGGGTTTATCGCTGGAGGGTTTATCGCTGGAGCCCGCGGGGCCTGGATCTGACATGGCTAACGCGGGGGAGGTGAGAAGAACACGCATACGTATCTCAGCCGCTAGCCCACAGTTTACCTCAATATGATAGAGGGGGCGCTGGGAAGTTGGATGGAGGAGATTAGACGGAGTTGGAACTTGGGGATTGATCGATCGACGAGCCGTGCCTAACGGCTGTGGTTGCAGGGCGGAAGGATTGGATGTGAAGCGGATGGCGAGAAGTCCAATGATGACGCTCGAAGGCGCACGAATAAGTAAAAAAAAAGTAGGCGGGATAAGAATAGGAACAAGGTACTCCGTTGACGGTCAGCACGAGTAGTGTGCATCAGCGCAGATCCACTGGACGCTCGTGCATTGGACCCGATGATGCAAACTGGACCCCACTCAGCAAGGCTATCTGATTTCGACAGAGAATGGGATGGGGCGTCAGCGAACGACTACTAGTGTATGTAGAACAAGCCCTTCGGCACGAGTGGACCAGCGGTGACCCCTGGGATTAGAGATGACCTTTCAAGCCAAGCATGTGGTGTTCCACCATACAGGGTTGGACATGGGGGCGAAAGCACAATTGTGAAGGAGAGCGACGAACGAGGAACAGCGAGGGGACTGGGGAGGGTCCACTGTGCGATCAGTACTTGATCAGGACAGAGAATAGATCAGATCAGTGGGTTGTGGGTTGTTGAAAAGTTTGGGTAAACTTGCACAGGGCACACTGTTTTTGGTTAGCCGCTGCGATGCGCTGCAGACTAGCGCATTAGGCCGTTTAACCGTGGAGAAGAGGTTCAATAGGGCATATCGGGTACATCGGGTGTGTTCCGAGACATTGATAGGAGGAGGAGGAGGAGGAGGAGAGTAGACTCTAGACAGTGTTAGTGCCAGAGTGCCAGAGTGGGAGAGTAGTAGAGTTGGAGATGGCAGTCACGGACTCCATACTCCATACTCATACTCATACTAGTACTACTAGTTACTAGTCAAACTATGTCTATATTAGATGAATAATCTTATCCTTCGAAACACGGCAATGCTTTTATGCAATCGGCTCATCCTGCACTTTAATTCTCGATCCACCGTTCCTGCAAATGAGCTTGGATATTGTACGGAGTACTCCGTACTCCGTGCACACTCTCATTATCTCATTCTCTCCAGTTCTCGCCCAGCCTTGTGCCCAGCAAACTCTAAGACAAGTATGACGTTGAAATAATGAGAGCAATATCAATAGATTATAGAGATTAATGGGGATTTAAGTTAACAACCTGAATCTAAATGTACTCCGCATGCGCCCTACCTAACCCACCCCATCTCACAGTCTGGTCTCCACAACTTGTCAGCGACATACCATCTTCGGCATAGTCTTAGCCGATCACTGTTGGAGCCAAGTCCGCATTGGAGAACCCCTTAATTTATATTAATTGAAATGCACAGCGGGCGTCAGATTCCTATTTCATGGGGGCTGAGAGGCGTCGAAGATGGATGGCCATACCCGGAGCACCCGGACAATGGAAATCGCACAGGCCCCCTGGTTCAAACAGCAAGTGTGTAGTACTCGGTACTCGTATTCGTACATACGATAGTCCCATGGCCAGAACCCGGAAAGTCGGGGCATAAGTATCTCCCGACAACGGCAGACCCAACACCATGGGACTGTCGATGATCGTCAACGGCTAGCTTAATCTTACTTCGTACGTATGAAGTACTTCTTGAAGGCATAGCCACTCGGAGCCTGCAAATGGACAATGTACCTCGTGGTCCTCCTGCCTTGTTTAACAATGCCTGACGACTCATCGTATGCATTGTTTTCGCTGTAACTAACTGGTGGTTGCATTGCCATGATGTATCTGCACATTCTCTTCTTGGGATAGATGGATTCACTGGCGTCGGAATCCTTTAATTTGACGGCACGTTCTGGCCACTCAGACCAGCTGCATGTATGAAATGCTCGGCAAAATGGATGATCAAAATGACATCTATCGTCTGCATCTTCATTATCCAGTCTGGAAGCCCCTGAGATGTTCCACTGAAGAACCCCTACGTGGATGAATTTGGGGGCCAGAACCGCAACAATGCATCTTACACCTTCCCAGCCTAGACAAGTGGCGACTGCATGTATATGTCGACTAATCCCCACTGGGAAGCGAGTCGTTTGAAATGAGATGGGAAGGTGAATGTTCGACTTGGCGGGAATCCCGAGACATGATGAATGGTCCATACTTTCAGAGGTGGATCGCTGTAGGATTGGGTGTCGTAGTGTTTTCGTCCCAGTCCAGCCCAAGAATTGCGGAAGGATCAAAGCTAGATAATGGTGTGTCAAGAGATATGCCTATATGCAACGAGACTGATCATCGATATCCAGACGAACCAGGATTGTGAGAGGGGGAGATAGTGAGTGGTTAGAGTGCTGTGGTAAGTCCGGTCTAGCTACTGAAAGGCATAATGTTTAGCAATCTTTTAATTCCTGTGCTGTGAGACCATTTGCAAGAAATTCCCAGGGCAGTGTCGTGGATAGTGTAAGTGCAAGTTCCCAAAGTGGCTCGGCAACAGCGGCGCGCTGTCGCGTGGAGGACCGCCTTCACCGCCTTCCTCCTAGCTTGAGTGATCGCAGACTGGACCGCGGAGTTTTGGTACAAAGCGACGACAATCAAGGGACGCAAACACACTGAATATCGGGGGGGTTGCATGATCCAAACTTGCTCTTGGATTTATCCTACCTTCTTCATCACTTCCAACTACCCCTAGATTGCCCATTGGTCGAGCGCCGCTGCCTGGTATCAGCTCTGCAGAATCCGCGCGAACCTCCGTGAGAAATCCGCCCAGTCGACAGAAACCCCCTCGATCCGCCCCTGAGGCGTGTATCCCTCGTCGTGTGAGCATAAGGAATCTGCGACCGGGAATCTGGAGCACCAAACGGGTTCATACAAGTCCCATTATGCCGGAAACATTCTCGTTCGGACTCCGCATTTAGCCCAGCCCTCCAACCCTTCGATCGATAAGCTGTGAACCGGCCTCGTCTGACCAGGCGCGAACTCTATTAATCTGCGCGAATACTCGGAATATACAGAGAATACCATTTCCACATTGATCGGTGCCTCAAATACCCTAACTGTCGTTATGGCGCCGGACATGGAGGTCGGCGCGATTCATACCAACGGGTTCGCCGAAGGCGCAGAAGCCTCCAATTCAACAACCAACCCTTACGAAACAAACCCAGCTAGGATTCCGCGCGATGACCCGTTTATCGCCCAGAGCGTGAAATATGGCCGCTACACCCCGCATTCCACTGATTTCACCCCGCGCTACCAGAGCTGGCATCAGTCTGATCCGGAGACGAACACTTTTTGGCAAGAGGTGGCGCAGAGATTCTGCACCCCGGAATATTCACTCAAGAGATCGGGACCGAGGGAGATATTCGCTGCTGGCAGTGTGATCATCCGAGTCGACCATGATCCTGTCGACGTCAAAGTCGCGGAGCGATACTCGTGCGCCAATGCGAACGAACTTTCCGCGGCCCGGAAAGTGGAGGAATCGCTGCGTGAAATCGGAGTCACGGTTCCGATTATACATTTCTGTGGTACAATTGAGGGTAAGAATGTGACGGTGGAATCACGAGTACCGGGCGTCTCTCTGGACGTGGCGTGGCGGTATTTAAGTTCCGAGCAAGTGGCTACCTTCAAAAACCAGTGCCGTCAACTCTTGCAGCATATTTCAACGATCGATCCCTCTCCTACCGAACCTTCCTACATTTGCCGCGGTCTCAATACACAAGCACCACCCCAAGGGCGCGAGACGGAACGGTCGATACTTCTGGCTGGAAAGGGCGGCGAGGAGAATCTTTCCTTCACGCACAATAATTTGACACCGGCAAAAGTCATCGTCAAGGACGATCGGATCGTGGGTCTTACTGGGTGGCGGGAAAGTGGATATTTTGGCATTGCTCGAGCTCGGAAAGTGCACAAGTCATTAAGGGATCTCCAGCTTGGCCCACAAATAAGTGGAAACGATACATGGCTTGATCTTTATGACGAGGACTATGATTCTAGCAAAAGTGCGCCATTGGTTGCAAGCAAAGACATCGCTCTGCCATCCGTGAAAACGGAACCTACAAGTTCAACCCTGGAAAAATTCCCTATCGGCGACGACTTGGACACCAAATCGCTAGGATTCGACGGAACCAGCGATTATCCGACATCGAAGAAACTTGCCAACTTGAAGAATGGAACAGCTTCTCGTGCCTCGTCCTCCGACCGCTCATCACCCGCGACATCAGTCAAGCCCCCATCAAATAAAAAAGCGGGGTCCGCTACTACGAAGAAAGGCACGGCAAAGAAACCGGCTGCTAAGAAGCGCAAGGCGAATGACGTGGATGCAGACAGTGCTGACGGACGTCGATCAAATACACCCGCATCTCGTGCCAGCAAAGGCCCAGGCAAAAAGCAAGACTCTGTCTCCATCGCAGGGTCCCCGGCACCCGAGGAAAAGAAGAAGAAAAAGAAAGGAGCGAGGAGACGCCTTGTAGATGAAGATGAGGAGGATGTCGAAGATCCGAACGAGCTCTTTTGCATCTGCAGACGACCCGATAACCACACATGGATGATTGGGTGCGACGGCAATTGCGAAGACTGGTATCATGGAAAATGTGTCAATATCGATGCTAGAGATGAAGAGTTGATCGAGCGATACATCTGTAAGTTCCCATTCATGTATTTTCTTTCACTGGTCGCGAATCCGATCTAACCAGGGAAATGACAGGTCCGAACTGTGAAGAGAGAGGACAAGGTCGCACAACATGGAAACCGATGTGCCGTCTCCCCGAATGTCGTAAACCGGCACGCGCCACTCCCAAGAATCCTAGCAAGTACTGCTCCGACGACCATGGCCAGGAATTCATGCGACAGCAGACTCGCCAATTTAAGCTTGGATCAGCCCGAAAAGGAGTGGAAGATCTAGGTAGCATGGGCGGTATTCTCACGGCCGGTGACCTCAAAGCTGCTATACTCGGCGTGACCTCGGTTGAAGAATTTCGCAGACTAGGTGATCGGATCATCTCCCCGCCAGTTTCTACAAAGGAGAATACTCCCAATTCTGAGGTGAAGAGCGAAACATGGCTGCAGGTCGGCAATGGATTTGACATCAACCCCAAAGGCGTGGAGTATTCCCCCGAGGAAGCCGCACAAATGGCAAGGCTGCGCAAGCTGCGTGACGACCTTCTCCACCGCAAGGAGATGCTTGCTGCACGCTCGAAGTTCGTGGGGCTTCTGCGACCGCGGGCCAAAGGCTTGGTGGAAAAGCTAAAGCAGAAGGAGCCGAAAGGCGGATGGAAGGATATCTGTGGGTTCGACTCGCGGGTTTCGTGGTCGGACGAGGAATTCGACGAGTGGCGGTTGTCAGAAGCCGGGAAGAAGGCGCTTGCAGAGGGCACGATCGAGGCTATGGCTGCTAGTTTGCCTGGCAACACCGACGCAGATGGCGATACAGCCATGGATGGAGAGGGTGAGGATGAATTGGCCTTTTTGACTCGTGGTGTCTGCACGAAGAAACGGTGCGAGCGACACAAGCAGTGGATCAAAGTGCAGCAGCAAGATATCTTGTTTGAAGAGACCACTGCAGACGAGGATCTTGCCAGATACGAGGAAGAGGCACGTTATGTCGCCGAAAGTGCCGTTCTAAGAAGATGGGCTGAGAAAGAGAATATTCCTTCTGGGTCCGGGTAGAACTCGCCACCAGTGGTTTTTCTTCTCTCTCCTTTTCTCCTTTGGTGGGTATGTGTTTAGTGAATGGTGACAAAGAAAAAAAGCTTGATACCCCCCTTTTTAAAACTGAGACAAAAAAACATGGCCCATGGCTTGGAGTTGGTATTTGTAAGAGCTAGCTCTGGGGAGAAAAGATTGGATACAGGACAATCGAAAAAATTCTCCCAATTTGCATTGGCATCGGTATGGCGCTTTGCGAGGTTGGATCTGGTGTCGCGATTATTGAATAGTGAAATATTTATGTAACAATAGCAGCAATTGAATTGAATTAAAAGCCGATGCGATGGTAACCAATATCATTCACGTATTCGGCGTCCATACGCTCCATTTTCCGAGCCCAGGTCCGACTCGGGATTTGATCACTTCGGCAACCTGAGAGGTCTTGATGTCCGATAGGAGAATATGTGTATCAATACCTTGGTCGAGCGTTTTCATGAGAAGAGTAGAAAGAGGCGACGATCCTGGTGTTTGAAAGACCGAGTGAATGCCATCATCCCACGACGGACGAGTATCTTCGTCCTGGGGCTTGATCCGGTTTGGACCCTGTTGATGGGTTGATTCAAATGCTGCAGGACCAATTCCATTGGTGTTGACGAGGATAGTTGAGAGGTATGGAGCGTGGGCCTGCGAGATGCGGTTTAAATGACGGAGAGTTGCCGACAATAAGGCCGTTCCTCTGACTGGATTTGATGCTCGAATGACACCTTCGGCGAGGGTGTCGAGTCCAACCACGATCAGAATCACGGGCTGATTGTTTCGCGTATTATCTGCCTGCTGCTGCCTTGACCTCTCAATTTTTTGAAGTGACCCCGAGACCTGACCGATGGCCTGGGCTGCGTTTGGGAAATTATGCACCGGTAGTAATTGCACGGTGTCGAGTCTTTTGATTGCTTCTTCCCGAGAGAGCTTTGGCTCGGTTGGGCTCGATTGCAGGACACTGAGTAAAGTTCTAGGAGCGAAAGCTTCGAACCCACGCGGAAATATTATAAAGGCGCGTGGCTCGGATGAAGCGGGGTTCTCAGATAAACTCTTTATGAGCAGATGTCGGGGAATCTGACATGCCTGAGTGAGATGATGTGCATGCAACTGGGTGGAGTGGAAGATACCTGAGCGATATAATCATCATTGTTTTTGTCCCTGGACCTTAGTCTGGAGAATCCAATTATAGCTCCGCATTTGAAGATCGTTGATTGAGAGGATTGAATGCCTTCCTCCCAGTGTCTTTTGAGGCCCCAGTCATTGTTGTCTGTGCTGGCATGCAAAGGCCCGCTGGGGGATGTTGGACTTCGTGGCTGGGGGAGAAGAGAATGTGCTAGGATAGGGAAAGCTGGCTCGGCAGAATAGGCGTTCGATGCCAAAGCCATTACTGATCATGGTTTAGTAGAGCTTGTGAATTGAACCTTGGAGAGTTCATGATAGGAGAAAGCGGTGGGGTGGCGGCTGTTCAAGTAAATTATTGTATTACCATTTCATGTGACTTGAACTGCCAACGATGGTTACCAACTCATACGCATCATAACAGTAAAACAGCATACATGGGAGAGAATATCAATATGTCTCTATTATCAACGCGCAATTGCTCAGCTTTAAAGTGTTGATTCAATCATGGCGACCGGTTGTGAGGGTTGTGTAATGCGTCCAGCGCTGTAAGAAGCTACCAAGTTCCGCTGGTGACAACTCATGGACCGAAATCATCGCAGAAGAACAATGGCATTGGATGCATAACCTTGGAATGGCTTTCAAACATCGCTAGTGAAACATGTTCTACCATTTGGTTTCTTGATAATTGCATTGTAATTTGATCGTATTCAAACTCAGACTGCGTCATCAGGGACGGTACTGTACTTAGTGCCCTGACTATATTCGTTATTATTTACAAGAGATCTTGCTGCGCTCAGATAATTAATACATCGCTGCTAATTTATTTGACCGATGGTAAATTCCGTCTCCATGTCCCACTCCCATCATATGTCCATTTTGTTCCCATGTTATCCTGCAAGACCCTGATCAGATCATCGCGTACCGCCTCGACGTGAAGATCTCGACTGCGGAATTCGACGATAGACGGGTGCTGATCAATATGCCATCCTATGATAGAATACGCACTCTCCAATTCCATCCAAGGGTCATTTGGATCAAGTGAGCCACGTTGCTCCAGTTCAGTAGCGTGGTTGTTGACATCGGGAGCCAATTGAATAGTCAGTTGGCGCAGATTGGCCATTTTGGCAATGGTATTTAATATGAGCTCCATGTGGTTGAAGAATGGGAAGACAGCGATATAGGAGAATGAGACAAAGGTCTCTAATATTGTCGTTAAATCCGGCAGAGCCGGAGGTTCTGGGTCGGCATCCGGTGAGTGTGCCGGTGGCTGGAGATGAAACCCCCATTCACCAACAAACGAGGGGACGCGACCAAGGAAATATTCGTAGTGGTGATATGCCTTGAGAGAAGAGGATTCATTGAAGGTCATTGAAGTCCATGGACGAGCCGTGAGAAGGTTAGTACAATATTCTAAATTTTGCAACGAGGATAGATCACGAGGGGGGCAGGTATCTCGCTCCAGTTGCAAAATCTGAAGGTCGATTTCAAATGCCCAATTGAAACCACCTTGAACGGATGCATTCAGAGTTTCTCCTATAAAAACTGGTGGGGCTAGAAGGGTGATGCGATCTGGATCTAGATAGCGGAGGACTCTACGCCACCATGATGGATCATCCGGATATACCGGGGTCGGTGGAGAGATGGCCACGAGAGAAGTGACATAGCGGTTCAGGTTCGAGCGAACCAGAAAGGTGCGGAAGTCAGGCTCATCTTTGAGCTCTAGACAAGCATGTGAGAAGAGTATCGGCCTGACCAAATCTAGAAATTGGCTCGAGGTGAGAGCAAGGTGCTTGAGATTTTTATCTTGCTCCGATCGAACAAGATGAGGATTGGGAGTCAGATAGAGCTGGGCCAGAGATGGCGGTTCGGGGGCCAATATAGTAATGATGTGATGCAACAACTCATTCGGAAGTTGTAGTAGGGGACACGGCATGATAGGAAGGTCGTCTCACAGTGGCACTGGCACTGGCACTGGCACTGGCACTGGCATGGGGAGGACTCGGGAAGAAGAAGCAGGTCGAAGTGCCGGAGGGTCCCCACTTGAGCAGCGCTGCAGCCCACTTGGCTTCTTGGTCAGCGGTGACTCAGCTGGAACCAATTAAGAGTATTCCCCATCGGAGTAGCTGTATTGAATACACTACATACTAGTAGAGTATAAAGATGCAGATTTAGAAGAGATGGTGAAATAGACTGTTATAGACAGACACAGAACCAACATTATCAAGCTCAAGCGTTGGTGAATGTTTAATTTTAGATCGATCCCCAACCGGGAATCCCCCCAAAGGTGGGGTACTGCAGCCAAATCTACAAGTTCAATCAGACTGCATACCCCAGAGGGGTACAGTAGTATGTATATGTACTAGTACTTCCCAAGTTAAGGAGCATGAGTGCTCCTACCTTCATGTCCTTTCATATAAGTTATACTGCGTACTCTGTATTTTGTACGAGTATCAATCCCTACTAGTATCGTAGTACATTGACTACCCCGAGTCAACGCCAAGCAACGCCCCGCATTCGCCTCTTTCTTTTATACTTCAATTTCAGTTTCAGACCTGGAGAGCTTCCTTGAGCAATTCAATCTGTCAATTCGCCTTAGTTCCGATACTCACCGGTCAATTCCATTGCTAAAAAATATGTTTTTATAGCTCAGGATGTGTGCTGATCGGCATTGAGGCAACTGAACAATTGCCTGGTTCCGATAGGCGTGTAGAATGTGGAGATGTCCATCTTTTTTGCCTGGTGGGGCAACATCGCATCCGGACTGGACTGAATTGAACTGAACAGCAGTCCTGTGCGCGTGCGATGGCGATGTGTTGGTTCTGCCCCTCTTTCTTGTCGCTTTCTCCGTCTCCCCGACTTTTCTTTTTCTCCCCTCTTCTCCAGCTCCAACTTTGTCCTTCACATATCTCTCATTGCTGTAAGTCGGCGAACTCCACCTGCAGAATCATCTGCCTCCTCGTCGAATACTCATCTCATTGCAATTAGCATTTCCTCCATAATGGCTCCTCAGCTTCATCAAAGACCCCCCTTTCCGTGCGGAGCACTTGGGCTCCCTGCTCCGTCCCCAGGAGCTCCTGGATGTTAAGATTGCCTCTGAGAAGGGGGAGGTCCCCGAGTCTCAGCTCATTCCCGTTGAAGACAAGGCCATCAACGATATCGTCGATACCCAGAAGAAGCTCGGCTACTCCGGTATCTCGGATGGCGAGTACCGCCGCCACAGTAAGTGTCCCTAAGCGTGCCAAAGGCGGTTTGAGTAGACCTTATTGCAGAGTCATGCTGACAACGGTGTAGTGTTCTGGGGTACCTTTTTCCCCGGCCTTGACGGTTTCGACGAGGTCACCGACTTTGAGACCGATATCTTCCGCCCTTACGCCCCCGATATCGCTGCTTTCCTTGAGGCTGGCCACAAGCCCGGCGAGACCGTTCTCTGCACCGGAAAGATCAAGCACGTTGGAAGCACCTATGTTGACCAGTTCAAGTATCTGGCTAGCCGTGTGTCCCCAGACGAGGTTAAGAACCTGAAGATTACTCTCGCTGCCCCTAACTGGTACCACCTGCGTTACCGTGAGGGTAAGGCCTACCCCAAGGATGTGTACAGCTCCGACGAGGAGTACTTCGGTGATATCGCCAAGGCCTACCAGGCCGAGTTGAAGATCCTGTACGATGCTGGATGCCGCAACGTGCAGTACGATGACCCTAACCTGGCCTGTAAGTTTCCACTCAAGCGCATCTCGTTGAATAACGCAAAACTCATATGGAATCACAGACTTCTGCTCCGAGAAGTTCTTGGACGGCTTCAAGGCTGACAAGGGCAACGTTTACTCCGCGGATGATATGTTCGAGAAGTACATCAAGCTGTACAACGATAGCTTCATCGGTCTTCCCGAGGACATGCACGTCGGTGTTCACCTGTGCCGCGGCAACTTCGTCGGAAGCCGTCACTTCTCTGAGGGTGGTTATGACCGCATTGCCATCAAGCTGTTCCAGGAGCTGAACGTGCACACCTACTACTTGGAGTACGACACTGAGCGTTCCGGTGGCTTCGAGCCCCTCAAGCACCTGCCTACTCACAAGAATGTCATTCTCGGCGTTGTGACCAGCAAGTTCGCCACCATGGAAGACAAGGAGGAGATGAAGCAGCGCGTCATCAATGCCGCCAAGATAATCGCCGAGGGCAACAACATCTCTGTCGAGGCCGCCCTAAACCAGGTCGGCGTTAGCCCCCAGTGTGGATTTGCTTCTCACCGTGAGGGTAACGCTATTGACTGGAATGGCATGATTAACAAGCTTCAGCTTGTCCGTGACATTGCCAACGACATCTGGCCCAACCAGGCTTAAAAGTCTTGCTCTGTGAGACAGGACCTGTATTGCATGACCTCAACAAATACCCACTTTGTACATTTGCCATCTGCCACGTCCATTCTCTGTTCGCCTTCTCAACAATGCGATCCGGTCTGGGTTTTCCTTTCTCTTGTGTATAGCCCGTTGGCGGGGGTGTCTGGAATACCAACTCAACGTATGATTCTTAAAAATAGTCAATATACTCGTGTTCATGATAATTTTGGTCCCGTAAAGATTAAAAAAGAGAAGAGAAGATCTAGGATGAGTGCAGGAATGAACGAACGAACTCATGCCCTCGTTCAAAGGCCACCAAGGTTTTCCTGCAAGGTCCTCCCGCTAGACGACGTGGTCCAAGTTAGTCCCCACAGGAGTCAGGGACTCAGATCTCTAATAAGATGCCCGGTAATATGATGAGCATATTCATCCAGTAGCTCCATGGATTCTTAAAAAATCGAGCTAACCAATTTGACTATGCCCCGCACTTCGTGCTGACATGCCAAACATCAAAGTTATCTGTACTGCAGTCTGCTCTGTCAATGCCATGTACAACTGAGATCTAGTGGTACCCGATAATAATGATGAATTTTATCACCTAGTATACTTGAAAGACACAGCAAAATGTCAGGTCTCGAAGTGATTGGTGTTATTGCAAGCATAGCCTAGATCGCCGATCTCGGCATCAAACTCTCAATTAAGCTCTGCTCTTTCTATCGCCGAGTCAAAGATGCAAATCAGTCCATGAATAGCCTTTCTAGTGAAGTATCCCTCACATGCGCGATACTTCAAGAGCTAAGAGCGACTCTTCGTCAGGACGTGGAGGCCAAACTTTGTTCCGAGAAAGCATTCAAGACAGCACAAGAAGTGCTAGATGAGTGCACACTTATGTTCATCTGGATCGACGAGGCAATTGAAAAAAGAAATGCTCGATCTGGGAAAGGTCGCTTCCAACTCCGAGCTCAAAAGCTCACCATTGCTTTTCTCGGCTCGGATATAGATTTGCTGAGAAGTAATCTAGAGAGATTGAAGTCCACAATGCTGCTCATGCTCAATGCGATCATGTATGCTGGGCAGCTTCGCAGGTACAACTCAAGTTATTCCCAGGGCTTGACATCGAAGTTGCTATGACTAATGAGATTTAAACAGGACAAATGATGCTGCTGTACTTGGAGACCAGCGTGAGATGATTCAATTACTTCTCAAAGACAAACAAGAGAGTGAGGCAAAATACTATGACCTGACAAGATCTATTGAGATGGTCCACATCAACGACCGTGCAAATATAGAAGATAAGGGTGCAACAGCAATGTTCACGGCAGCACAGTCAACAGACACCCCGAAATTCAAGACCGGAGAAACATTTCCGAGGATGTCCCAAGCTGAGCGAGTAGCCATGCAAAAGGACTTGAAATCATATCGTCAGCTAATCCAAAGTTTTATCAATTATATTGATATGTGCCAGTCAAGTTTGGAGGACACTCGACATCTGAGAATAAGAAATGGCGTTATGAACCTGCATTTAGCCGAAATTGAGGAATACCGGAAAAATCAAGATCCTCACGTAGTTCAGGCACTCAAAAGAATGGTTTCCACCATCCAGAGTTCAAGCTATGAGGTCTTGCAGAGTTGTGACGAAGACGATGAAGAGGAAGAATACGACTACTACGAAGATGATGATGGGGAGGATGGAGAGGATGAAGATGGAGACGAACCAGAATTGCTTTCCAATCAAGACAAGAGTCAAACTCGCTACTGCAGATGCTCCTTTTCTCACGCGGTCCATTGCCCTAGTCGAGCTGAATCTGCCGATGAAGAATTCATTCGAGGTCGAACCCGAAACAGATCGCCACCAGGCTTGATCGGTGCCAATCGTCCTGGCTTCGCTGAGCGGCAGCGAACTCGTTCACGGTCACCGCGTTCTCGAAGCCGAGTCCATAGAAAAACCCCCGTGGTTGCGGCGGGTCTAGGTACTGCTGCTATAGCCAGTTTATACGAGAGGGGGAAACAACAGAGTCGAAGTTCTGAGATTCCTATCCAGGATGGTGAAAAGAAGCCTGTCTTCGAAACAGTGGAAGAGTTGATTTTAAATTGGACAGCATTGACAGTAGATGAGATGTAGAGAGAGCGAGGGTGGAGCTTAAGCTAGAAATCCACGAGGTTGCTCGGGCACAGGAGTATAATTTCAGACTATGTACCTCAATTTAGTATCAACCTTTCGGCATAATCAGCCAGCTCAGTGCACAATATCATTCGGCGGGCCCAATAATGTTCTTCTCTTTAACGGCAGATCTCTTGTGCGTGTTCACATTCTCGACCTGCACCAAGCCATGAGCATTGAATCCAAGAGTATTGAGAGTCGGACCCCAGCATCGGCTTCCTCGTTAGACGTACCTCGTAGCACGGCTCTGCTTCCGATGCCTCCACGATGCGGCCGGTCAAACTAGACTTTGAGGTGCAGACGTTGTGGATCACGCCAGTACTCTTATTGGTATTGGAGTTTGGTCCTATTCGCGAAAAGAATTCAATCGTCAGCTAGTATAAAAACCTGGCTTTGGTCTCATAGGAGTCATACCGCCGACAGGCTTGTAGTTGACTCGCTGTCCTTCCTTGAAGTGGGGCATTTTGTTTGATAGAGAGATTTCAACAAAATGATAGAGAGATTTCTTTGATTCCTGGGACAAATTCTCGCAAGACAACAACACTCTACCGACTCTTGGACCACCAAATAAAATATTGTTGAAGGCAGAATATTGCAGCAGGAGTCAATTGGGCAAAGACGATGTTATATTAAGAATTTGCACCTCGGTTTATATTTGTTAAGTGGCAAGTATTTAGGAGGTTGATCTCCGGATTTCTTCGTCACATTGACATGACACGTAGAAGACTAATGGCGATGAGCTGGTTCTACTGTTTGATTGTGGCAACATCGTCAGAAGATCTGGTTGTCATTTTGGGATAGAGATCATCACGTAACAATGAGAACAGATCGTGACCCATTAGGGAGGTTGGGGATACCGAGTCCGTTGGGCACCGGAGGTTGCTTCCGTGGAATAAGATTAGTAACACTAAGCAAGTTGTTCAATTGAGTGAAACGCTATCACATTCAGTCAAATGTATATCATTTTAGTCCAAGTCGATTCTCTATCTCAGCTCCAAAAGTCAACTCCCCTCCGCCTCTGAAAACCAGTCAATTCTATACACATCGGCAATCCACAATAATGACAAGGGAATCGAACAATGGAAACGCTGCTGATATAAACCACTTGTGGAGAATTAAATAATTAAGGCGGAGCTCCGGCGAGTCCGTCCGTGTAGCAACAGAGGGGATATCATAGAAGGAAAATGGGACCATAGGGGGTAAAGAAGAAGAAAGATAAAAGCGATTGCGCACAAAAGAAATGAAAGCAAAAACAAAAAGCATAAATGAAGTAGAAAGCCCAAATGCTGCGTCGTATTGTCATCAAACACGGGACATGAGTCGAAAAGCGAAATTGCTTCACGGACGGTGCAAGGTGTTATACACGAGGCTGGGGAGGGGAGCCTCTCGATATCGCAGCGGGGCGGATTTATTTTTGCGGCTGGGTCTTGACATTGTTGGAGAGCCATGCCTGGAAGTGGGGACGTGCGGGTCAGCTATTGTTTTGGTTTCGGTCAAGCAAGACAGGGAAGGAGACTTACCAGGCCTTCAAAAATACCGGTTCCGTCTGTCGCCACACTAGGCGCGACATACCACAGCTTGTCCTTGAGCTTGGTAAGTTGAAGTTGTTGAGTAACCTCCTCGGGGCTCAGATCTGGTCAATTGGTCAGTTTGGAATGGGATCCAGGGACACGGTAATCTGGTTCGCGAAAGAACAAGAGGGATGGATACGTACGGCCACCGATATCTTGCTTGTTGGCGAACACCAACAAAAGGGCATCCTTCATTTCGCGATCGTTGATAATCTTGTGTAGCTCCGAACGGGCCTCCTCCATACGCGCGGTGTCGCTTGAGTCCACCACGAAAATCAGACCTTGTGTGCCGGAGTAGTAGTGTCGCCAGAGAGGACGAATCTTGTCCTGACCACCGACATCCCAGACGTTGAACTTGACATTCTTATAGGTGACGCTTTCAACGTTGAAGCCGACGGTGGGGATCGTGGTGACATCCTGGTTGCTGAGTTTCAATTTGTAAAGAATAGCTAGGATGTTGTCAGCAACCGCATGTGATATACTATAAAACACCCAAATCAGCTCCAGGGGATATCCTTACTGGTCTTTCCAGCAGCATCCAAACCCAACATCAGGATCCGCATCTCCTTCGTGCCGAAGATCTTCCCCATCATCTTGGATACTTGGCCACCCATCTTGGCGACGCGTCAATTAAAAAATGGGCGAGAGGGAGAAATAGAAGTGTGCCACAGCACAAGAACGAGAATCGAAGGGGTCGATTGGGATTGAACAACCGGAGTGAGAGTGAGAATCGAATCAAGGCCAGACAAGACACGACGAGACAAGAAAACAGAATCGCGGGGAGGGGAAAAGGGGCAGCAATCTCGGCTGACTCAGCCACCCCGGCGTTTTGTTTCGCGGGCTCCACTGCTAATTTACTGTGGTGGCCCTGTGTGTACTCGTACTCGTACGAGTACGGAGTACGGAGTACAGAGTACAGAGTATGGTTGGAGTACAAAGTACAATGTCCTTTGTACATACTCTGTACTCCCAGCAGTCGGCGCATGAACCGTGGCTGGTGAGAGAGTTTGCGACGTCATGTCCAACACGCTCACACCACCACCAACCACACTCTACACTTCTCTCCAGCATCTTCATATTTGTATACTTGCACCCCAGATACTCCCCTACCTACACTTCCAATCTATTTCTCTTCAAGAGTGCTTCCCCTCCCTTCTACCTTCAAACTGAAATAGCCCAAGATGCCTCGCAACGGAAAGCCATTTTCACGTCATGCTTCAGTAACGCGGCAAAACCGACTATCACACCAGTTTCACCGGAATGCTTGGCTAGCACCTCTGTCTGATGTATGCACAGCTGAGAGACAGTGGATGTCTTTTACTGCCAGGTAAATGCTGACAGGACAAGACTATCTATGCAGGAGTTTCAGGCTTCTTCTCTGACGACCATACCTCGACGATCGCAATCGCAATGCGAGACCCTACATACCTACTGGATTTCATTCAAACGACCATCAAATCCGATCCCGATGGCCAGCTAGCGACCGACTTCATCATTTCCCAATTGAAGCAATACGCCGAAACCCACTTGGAGAAGATCATGGGGCTAGCTATGCCTCGCCATGTCGCAACCTTTTGCACATCCCTCTGTTCCCGAGTCTGGGCTGAGATCGATGTGGTTCCTCTCGTTCTGCCAGAATGTAAATTGATGAATGGGTTCATACTTCGCCAGCCAGCCACTACACATGCATGGGATAGCAAGACCCTCGATGAACAAGCGGAGTCCATGTCGCGAAAATCTGTTAGGTTCGTACGATCGGCAAGCTTGTGGATCACGGATGCTGATCCTTGCGCAGATTGTTTGGTCCGGAAAACATCCCCTTGCTGCAGGTCGGTTTAAAGGGCCTCGTGGAAGTCGACACAGCCTTCCACGTGCAATTGACGAATCTGAATGACTTCCAAAAAACCGTCTCCGAGAGGACCTGGTCTGCGGTACTACATTATGCGGCCGATCTCAAGGAACGAAATGTGAAAATTGCTTTTTTCAGCGCGACTCCGCAAGGTGGAGGTGTAGCTTTAATGAGACATGCTCTCGTACGATTTTCACATTCCCTGGGCACGGACATCAAATGGTGGGTCCCATAGTATACCTTCCCTCACGAGGGGACAAAGACTAAATGAGCTTGTCTAATCCCTTCGTTAGGTACGTTCCGAAGCCACGACCAGGTGTCTTTCGAGTAACGAAGAATAATCACAATATTCTCCAAGGCATCGCTCGCCCGGAAGAGCGACTGACCTCAGCGAATAAGCAACTGCTCGAGGATTGGATTCAGGAAAACGCCAAGCGATATTGGACTTGTTCGGGGGTCCTCTTTGCGCACCTTCGCAGGGAGGCGCAGACGTCCTGATCGTAGATGACCCTCAGATGCCGGGACTAATCACGCTAGCCAAAGAAGCAGCTCCAGACCGGCCGATCATTTTCCGAAGCCACATTCAGATTCGAAGTGACTTGATTGAGCAGGCCGGGACGCCTCAGGCCGAATGCTGGGATTTCCTATGGAATCATGTCAAGCTATCCGATTGCTTCATCAGCCATCCAGTAAGTGCTTTCGTGCCACAGGTTGTGCCGCCGGAGATAGTGGGATATATGCCAGCTTCAACCGATTGGTAAGTAGTCTGATGAGCAAAGATCCTGTGGTAATTGCTGATATGACGCAGGCTAGATGGGTTGAACAAGAATATGCGAGATTGGGACGTGGCGCATTACGGTCGTATCTTTAATGCTGCATGCAAGAACGCGGATATGACCACGATCCAATACCCAGAAGGTAAGGCCATTGATAAGCATGCATGGGCTAGATAACTATGTAACTGACCGGGTCTCATTGGAACATCTACTAGATCAGTACATCGTGCAGATAGCGCGATTCGACCCATCCAAGGGTATATTTGATGTATTAGACTCATATGAAAAATTCCACGACCGACTGACTCGTGAACGGCCTCATATGACTCCCCCGAAGCTGCTGATCGCCGGACATGGCTCGGTGGATGATCCGGATGGGGCGATCATCTACGATGAAGTGATGTACCATATCGCACACAGCATCCCACACCTACGAGATCAGATTTGCGTCATGCGGCTGAGGCCATTAGATCAGGTTTTGAACGCGCTCATGTCCAAGGCAACCGTTGCATTGCAGTTGTCAACGCGAGAAGGATTCGAAGTAAAAGTTTCAGAAGCAATCCATAAGGGCAAACCTGTGATTGCTACGCGCGCTGGGGGCATTCCACTCCAGATTTCCCACGGCCAGAACGGATTTCTCGTGGATGTCGGTGATTCCGATGCGGTTGCACGTCATCTATTTGACTTGTGTGTGGACAAGGCCCTCTACCACCGTATGTCAAAGTATGCCCTCAGCCACGTCTGCGATGAGGTGAGTACAGCGGGGAATGCACTCAATTGGCTGTATCTCGCATCGAAGCTGTCCAAGGGTCAGTCTGTGCAACCTCATGGTCGCTGGATCAATGATCTAGCCTTCGAGGAGCTCGGAGTGCCCGTTACGGAGGGTGCGCCCCGGCTAACGCGCGACATGCAGGTGGACAAGATGGGGTAGTGATATGCATTGCTAGGGACTGTTCGTTTGTATTGAATTTTGTTCTCTGATGCCCGGTGAACGTGTGAAATAGTATGTATGTACTGGTAAGCTGTAGTACCTATGATAATATCCAATCAACAGCTGCTACCTCAAACCCGGGGCAAGCGCGGCTCATGCGATTTTGACAATAAAAGAAAACAAGGGTATCATTCGGCGACAAATCAAAACAGAAGAAGAAAAGAAAAAAGCAGCAAAATAAGCGAGATTTCGGACCTTACGGTCTCCCCACGGCCCGATACCTTTCTCTCGCCAATCCACCCTCTGCCCCCTCAACGCCATACCCCTCGCCAACCTCGCCAACAATCCTGGCTGGCTTGCCGCCGACCACAGACCAACTTGGCACAACCATAGCCGGAGGAACAACCGCACCATCAAGCACGACGGAAAAATCTTTTATGATCGCCATACTTCCAATCGTAGCCCTGGCCCCAACATGAACATGGTTCCCAAGCGATGCAGCTTCGACAACAGCTGATTCGCCGACAAAGACGTGATCGCCAATCTTGAGAGGATAGAAAGAGTGTACACCGCGGTGCAGTCTGCTCGGCGGGCGCAGGATCGCACACTTGGAGATGTAGCTGTATCGGCCGACGGTGATTGCAACGCTCGGCGTGTTTGACGGTGGAGGGGGATTGTTTGGGTCTGTTGAGGCGGGGGTAGCAGGGATTCGGTAGAGATCTCCTCGGATAACAGCTTCGGCTTGAATGACGGTCTTGCCACCGAGAATAATGTGTTGTGTGCCGTGGATTTGGGACCGGCGCGAGATCTTGTTTCCCGTGTCCTTGATGCGCGTTAGCTGGGTTTGTTTTCCTTGCCATTGATGGGTTCGACGAAGGTGGCCTGGTATGCCAGCAAATGGATAGTGTGACATCAATTACATACAGTCTCGATGTACTCGCCCTTGGCAGCTTTGGGAGGCATGTTGGGTGCGTGTGATTTTGAAGCTGGTGATGGTCTTCCCCCGTTGTTGATGCAGATGGCGGAGGAAGGCGGTCAGCGTTGCTACATGGAAAAGGTTAACCATTAACCAACTATACTCCAACCAGCCAATGAATTTCCTACACTTCATTATTTGTTTTACTTTCTCTGAAAGTGTTGCGCTGCCTAGGATATCTTTCAAGTTTTATAAGTTTTCACAAAGAAAGAATATAATCTTATCTTGGTCCTACCCCGAAAAAATCGAGGCCGGAATCAATTCCATCGTGTATCTTGACCAGAAGGTCTTTTACAATGTACAAGACACACTGGCTAAATCATAATTACGTCAATTATAAGTTGAAATCAGGGACCCAGGCCCAATTTCACCTTATATACTCGTTGATATCAGTGGCTTCAATACCTCTCTCCTCTCGAGTTGAATTCAAGAAACTGTCCAGATCTCAAATAAGTGTCATTGGCAACCCGCTGGTCATAGATTCAACGGATTATCCAATGTCTTTCGAAGACGTCCTTCCATCTACAACGCCAAAATATAATTATCAGGGAAATCGACAATGCTTGAACATTATAGAAAGAGAGTCGATTCAATATGCCAAACAGAAAGGCTTATCAAACCCTTATATCATCATGGATATTGACGAAGATTCCTTCCTTAAATGTTTTGTTGAATTGGACGAAAAGCTTCTTAAATCTTCATGGAGATCTTATGACTATATCTCTCAGTCTGTGCTTATTGAGATGGAGTCAAATGAGCACGCAGCTGCAATTGGCGCATTTAGTGCTATCTTCAGTACTTGGGCACGACCAGTCACGGATGCCCCTCTGGCCTACACAGCTTCGATGAATTTCTGCGGGGAGTCAAAAGAGAAGAAACCGGATTTGTCATGGACACCTCTTCATTCTCCTGGCGGCCGGTTGACAGATTGGCCAATCTTGGCTGGGGAAGTAGCCTGGTGTGAGCCGCGTCAGAAGTTGGTCCAAGATATGAAGTTTTGGCTACAGGAATGCCACGGCCAAGTTAAAGTCGCCTTATCTATCACTATTAATGCTTGTGGTCGAATAAGTATTGAAAAATGGAGTGTCAATCCTGGCGACAAATATACTTCTCCATTTGTAACGCAGAAAATCGAAATTGTACCGGAGCCCGCGCCGGGCTTCTCAAGGGTTGCTGGGAAACTTGCCATCAAGTTTGAAGAGGTTTTTACACGGAAAAATAAAGGAAACGAGACTGACTTTATTCTAACGGGGAATGACATGGAAGAGATAGCGGGGCAGATATGGACAGTTCAGTTTTCGGAGGTGCCTCAGGAAGAGGTTGGAGAATTTACCTGAGGGCTACTAGTAGTTTCATTGCCACATAAAGCAAAAACAGTAACTCGAAAGAAAAGGAAAATAGCCTTGTCAGGAATTAACTTCAAATTTGAACTATACACTAAAGCTACAGAGCCTTCGATAACTAAAAGCACAATTTCTGGATATCCTGGAGAACGAAGTAGTCCCCGAAAACAAAGCCAAAACGTAAACCATGGCCACCCACAAGGGGTGCCGCACATTAACCCTCGTCCAGACCTCATAAGATCGGTCGTGAAAGGTGTATATTTTAGGTGACTCTGGGAGTCGCTTATTGCTTGAAAGTGTATTCGCCGTCCCAGTGAAGCTTGAGAGCTATAGTAAAAAGTTTCAATCAGTACAATGTGATGGTAGTTGGAGAACAGGTGGAACTTACCCATAGGGAAGGGGAAGTACGAAGTACCGTCCTGGCGGAGGTAGACATAGTAACCACCCTCTTGGGGGATCTTCTTAAGCTGGCCCTGGGCACCAGGAGCACGGCGCAGGTTCTGCAGGCGACCGACGACACGGAGCATAGAGACAAGAGCGATCTTGGTGATCTCCTGGCCGAAACCGGTGTTGGCTCCCGCGCCCTGGGTGAGGTAGGAGTCAAGCGGGCGCTCGAGGTTGACCTCCTTGGGCTCGGGGAAGATGCTAGGATCGTGGTTGGCCTGAACGTAAGAAGCGAAGACCTCCTGGCCAGCCTTGATCTCAATTGTCTTGCCATCCTCCTCGACAGAGATGTCGCGCTCAGCCTGGCGGTAAGCGCCGAAGGTGCCGTTGATACGCATGGCCTCCAGGCAGTAACGGAAGAGCTTCTCATCATTCTCCTTAGACTCCTCCTTGGACAGGCGGTTGATCTCAGAGAGATGCTTCTTACCCTCCTCGCCAGTGTAGTACTCAATGACCTGAGTGAAGGCCTGGCCCTGGTGGGGGACCAATCCAACAATAGTAGGGATGATCTGGGACCAGGTGATCTCCTTGGCGTTCAGACCAGCCTCCTCCAGACGGCGGAGGGCACTGGTTCCGTACTCACGAAGAGCATTGTCATGGGGACGGAAGCTGTTCATTAGGCCGGACAGAAGTCCGCTGTTGGTGTCAGCCTTGACAGTGGCCTCAACAACCTGGCCGAGCTGCTGAGCAACAGCAGTGGCAGCACGGTTCAGGGAGTACGACTTGGTAGCATCAACGTCAAAGAAGAGAGCGGAGAAGACAGTAGTCAAGACCATGTACATCTCGTGCTCGGTGAACAGTCCGTTGGGGTTCTCCTCAGTCTTCAGGGGAAGACCGAAAAGGGTCGAGGCAAAGTGAATATGGGCCAGGTTGCCGACATCACGAGTAATATCAATTTGGTTGATGTTGGCCAGCTTGGCACCCTTCTGAGAGATGAGACGGGTGGTGACATCCTCGTAGAACTTCTTCACCAGACCAGGGAACTCCTCGGTGCTGAATGCCTTGCCCATAGCCAGCTGCTGCTCAGGATTGAAGTCACCCTTGCCAAAGAGCCCCTCCATAGAGCTGCTCCAAGAGGAGGTGAAATCCTTGGGGTTGTTGATGACCAGCTTCGCGTTCTGGTGGGAAGACAGATTGGCACGGTTAGGCAGGAAGGAGGGCGCCTCATAAGAGTAGTCCTGCTCACGACCCAGGTTCTTCATGATGTTACGGTTCTCGCTGGGAATGGTCATGGGGTAGTGGGCATAGATGGAGTCAGGCTTGTAGTAGTTGGGGAAAGCACGAGTGGCCAGCTTGTAGAAGACGCAACCCTGGTTGATGTTCAGGTCGTAACGGCACTCGTTGTAACCCCAGTTGGTCAAGTTACGGGGGTTGTAGTCAACGGTGTAGTGACGATCACCGCGAACCAGAGCGACGGCATCCGACAGCACTGCGCGGGAGATGGTGTAAGTCGGGGCAATACCAACACCTGGGACCATGGGCTCCTTCGCCTCCTCAGAGACGATACCGGGGTACAGCTCAACGTTGTCCGGGTGATCATACAGGTGACGAAGGGAGTTGGCGATCTCGGGGTCAGAGTTGATTTCCTCAAAGGTATCGTAGGTCTTCAGGCCGAAGTGCTTACGGAACTCATTGAGGGAACCGACCTGCCATCTGCGGGCAGCCTCCATACCAAGAATCTCGATGGAACGGAGCGCCTTGGGAACGTTGCGAGGACCGAAAGAGCTAGCAACATCTTCAGTCGCGTGACTCAGAATTGCAACCAGCTCCTCGTCCTTGAAGGTACCGTCCTCCTGACGCTGCAGCTTAGCGAAGGTACGCTTGGAGGGATCGGCGTCAAGCGTGCCTTCAACCTTCTTCATGCCCATAAGAAGCTCCTGCATAGAGACCTCCTCAGCAGGCTTACCCATGAGATCATAGTAGATCTGCTCAACCCACTTCTCATCTCCCTGGCTGATGGCCGAGTGCCAGCGGTAGGCCAGGTTAAATTCGACTGAGCAGGAGTTGCCGAGACCGGAAGGAGTGGCACCGGCCTTCTCCATCTGGGCGCGAGGGTCCAGGCACCAAGTCGAGTTGGTACGGTTCAAGTTGACAATGGTGCGAAGGTAATCGTACAGGGTGATGTTGATGTACAGTCCGCAAGTGATCAGACGGCCAGTCTGGAACAGGTCCTCGTCACGCTTAGCCCATGCCTGCTTCTGCTGCTCTTCGGACAGCCTAGTAGTATCAGGCTTGGGGAAGCGGTTGTTCTCATTAACTTCAGCTAATTGCTCGACGACATTGTTGTGGAAACGGTTCAGCATAACAAGCAGCACACCGCAAGCGGCGGGGAGAGCTTGCAGACGGCCTTCGGAAAAGCAATCAGGCTTGAGTTTTCCGTCCTGGTGGGAACGGATCAGGTCCTGCTGCTCCTTGACATCACCGTAAAGAATGGAAAGATCTAGGTAGGCAGATGTCTTGTTAAGGTGAGGCTCGCGGTAGTCGGTTTGGAAAATATCTATAGTTTACATTAGTATTCACTTCCAGGCAATTGTGGCGGAATGATGATTACCGTGGATGATAAGAGAAGCCCAATCGAAGAAAACACTGGACACCTTGTTGGGGTGAGGGGTAAACTCCTGACGAGCGAAGAGGCTGTCGAAGATCAGGCCAGGGTCGGGCAAACCGCTAGGCTGGATGGTGAGAGGAGGAATGGTCCGGCAGTAGGGAGTATTAGCCGCACCCAACTTAGGTTGGGTAGGGTTGTTGTTAGAACCGTCTGCGGTACGGTATTTATAATCATCGCCCATCATGCTGTTTAGTCATGTCAGTAATCTAAAAACATCATTTAACATGCTTAAATCATGGAACTCACGAGAGAGGAGGGTGTGGCAACGAGTTCCACAGCTCATCAAGGAATTGGTTTGTGAGCTCAGTGCGGTTCTTGGAGTGGCCAGGCATGTCGGCGACGAGCTACAATTCATCACCGTGTCAGTTACTCGTTCGCGAATATTTATTTGTACATGCAATTGGCTTCAATCGGAGCCAATTGCATGGTCCAATTTTATTCCATACCTGAATAATACGCTCCATGATGTAGGTCTTGTCGTCAATGAGCTCGCCGGAGGCCTTTTGTTTGATCAGGTCTTTCACGGTGTTCAGGTCGCGGAATCCAAGAGACTTGATGTCATTGAACAGTCCTGAGGACTGGTCATGCTTCAGGTAGGTGCCATCGCCGGTCTGGTTGGGCAGAGGCTCGCGCGAAGCGTGAATAGCCTGCGCGTACTTGTCGAAAATAGCTTCGACCTCCTCGCGCTTCACAGGGTGGCTCTCCTCTTGGGAAGAAGTTTTCCGGGGTGCGGCGGATTTGGAGAAGCGCTTACTGCTGTTCTCCTTGGCGCTCTTTGGCTCGGCGTCGCCATTGCCATCCTTGTTCCGCTTGAACTGCGTCGAGATTCTCCGCAGCATCGACATGGTGACGGGAGTCTGAAATGCTTGATACAGACGAAGTCACTCTGTGAAAGTGGAATTGGGTCAAAGGAAGAAAAGAAAACAAGGTATTAAGATGGCTACGTCGGGCCAGATCAGGGGAGAAAAGAAAAATCGCGACCGCAGCTGCGTGCACACTGGATTTAAAAACGAGCTGTGCGGGAGGACCCAGGTGAGGACCAGCTGCAAGACTGTGGAGCATCCGCGGTGGCGGATTTGTTATCACCAATAGTTGATTGACTGTGAGGCCCAGATCTCATTGAAAATGGTTAGCCCAGCACGACACTAGCCTCGATCTGCCCCGGGCCAGTGGCTCAGAACTGACAGTCAGCTGCCAATCAACTCGACAGCCCCGCGTGGGACAAACCAGATGAAGCTGATTCGAGCGCAGATCCCACCAAAAAGCATGAGCTTCCCATGATGACGAACCACTGAACCAAGTAATTGATCACCATGCAGGCCTGTGTACAGTACCAGAGTGGGGAGCTTTGTTGCTTGGGAAAGGGGGTGGGCCAGCAATTGGACGCGGCACGTCACTCGGGGCAGCAGCGCTGAAACTGTTCACGGGGCGGACAATTGGCTTCTCGAACGTGATCGTCACACGATTGCCGGGATAATCCTGTCCAGAGGTGACATTCGTGCACATTACCAGGTACAAGAACGCCCGCGTTTTGACGTCAGGTCTCTGGGTGTACCCCTTGCTATGCCCGGGCGTTTTGATGGACATGCATGGGGAGCTATGAATGTGATTGAAGTCAAATGGGCAATAGCGGTGTGTACGGAGTACAGAGGGACGACTCGAATCTCGGAAGTCACTATGATCCACACAAGAGATGCTGAGATCCAGCCATCGAGCCCGAGGGAACGATATGGAGCGTGGCAGCACGATGTGGGGGGAAATGAGGGGCGATTGGGTCTTGCGCTTGACCTTTTGATGGGAAAGCAGTGGCTGGCTGTGACGATCGCCGGAGCAACCGGTTGTGCACTCCGTCTGTGTGCATACGAGTATCCAGAGTCCTTGGTAGCATCGAGGTTTATTCGGGAGGGGGCTGTCATACCCTACCCACTGGCACCCTTGATGA